TTTTTCTTATATAAGAACTTTAAAAATAACAGATTTTCTTTCTTTATTTTGCTACAGTATAGTTTCAGTAAAAGGATTAATGTTTAGCGTAAGAAGTTTCGATACTAACTATCAGTCTTTCAGGTAATAGCCAATCGTGAAATTTTTATTCGACAATTTCATGGCAGAATTTCATTATTAAGGAAAATGAACCTTCAGTAGAAATTTTATATTTCATTGAGAAATTTTGTTGTTTTTATTCAATAGAAGCTCCTTAATGTGATCACTTTTGTTCATTGTTATTTTGATACTATTAGCTGAATGTTAGCATTCAAAAATGAGAAAAATTTCCTTTCAGTAATCTTAGATAATTAATTTAAAGAAAATGTGATAGAAACATACAAATTCTTATTCTTTCAAGCTTTTGATTAATAATAAAAATTGTAAATGTTAATTTATACTGCACAACTTGCATTTGTTATACAGAAGTTTTGTTACAACTATTTGTATTCATAGTGTGTCTGTAAATTTTCTGACTAGTATTGAGTAAAAAGTGACAAGTCTTCCTTATCGCAGTGCTAAGAGGGAATTCATCATCACTGTCATTAGAGAGTTTCTCATTTATTATGCCTGGATTTATCTGGAAAGTTGATGTCTGTATACTCAGTTTTGTTACTCTTTCTATCATTATTCATACAAGCTTCAAATTTCTGATAGTTCAGCTTTTAGGCTGAGACATTGCATTTTCTTTTTCTACTTCCTCTATTTTTCTTCTTTTCTGTCTCTTTTATTATATATTATAAGGTATTTCTCCCGCCTTTCTAGCATGCCTTCATGATGTAGCGGTCAGCACATTGAGCCAGTATTTCAGAGGTCCGTGGTTCGATTCCCGGCAAAGGTGTTGCTAAATTTTCAATCTTTCCTGCTTCCAAAAATACCTAATGTCTCTACAATGGTGCCCGAACTAAAAAAAAAAGGGTTGTGGATGATGATTTCTTCCCACCCAGGATTTGGTGATTGGGTCCCCTAAAAACCCCAGTCGCCCTTTAAAAGGGGAAACATATAAGGTATTTATTTCTCCTGCCTTCCTAATGTACGTTCATGGTGTAGTGGTCAGCACACTGAGCTGGTATTTCAAAGGTCCGTGGTTCGATTCCCGGCAAAGGCGTTGCTAATTTTTCAATTTTTCTTGCTTCCTAAAATACCTAATGTCTCTACAATATTTGTTGTTTATCTTTCCTGTGGTGCAATACTCAGACATATATTCAGCAATTTGTTTAATATGACTCAGAACATCAAGGAGTTAATTTTCTATACAAGCTCATTTGAACTTGAATCTGTATTTTACATGTTATGAAAACTAATAAAGTTTCATTACTAGCTTAATTTCTTGATTGCATTAGTGTGGGTTTGATTGCATTAGTATGTATCACAAAGTAGTGTGGGCTGTATGGAATACCATTTAATTTTAGAAAAATACTTATGTTGCGTGCTGTGCAAGTCTCAATCAAAAGAAGGATACTGTTTCATAGTTGCCAGCTCTCTGATTTTCCATCACATTTTCTGATCTATCCATCGTTCGCAGTAGCTCCTAGTTTTTAATTTTTAGCCTTCACTACGGAAACTTATTTCCCAACAGTATGAAATTTATTGAATTTATGAAGCTTAAATTGTTCAAATTTCTTTCCTCACTCTTAACAATTATAGTACAATTTTTCTCATTAAATTTTACATTGGTTGGAATTGTTTTAATTTACTGTAGATATTTGTAGAACTTTTTATGAAGCTTCTACCAATGTGTAATCAGCTAATATTTGTACTAACTTTTGTTTTACATCAATGTATGGTATATTATTGTTTATCTACACAGCAGCATAAATATTAATCATAAGTTTTATTTTTATTTTATTTAAAAGTACTTTGATAAATAAAACTTTCCTTCCCTACCTAGGATATTTTCCTAAAAAAAAATAAATTGTAAAATAAAATTAGCCTAAGCTTATAAAATTTAGGCTAATTAATTAAATATTAATATATTTCACATCAGGATCATGTTATAAGTAGTTCAATAATGAACCTTACTTTATAAAATAAACTGAATGTCATTGTTCCATAGCTTGAAAATCTTAGTTTTTCACATATTGAGGTTGTCAGCTATGTTATTCTTCATTTAATATCCCATTTGAATCCATTCATCAAACAAGGGAATTAGATTGAGTTTCATTCCCTTGTTTGGTATATTGTAATCTTTTGATCACATTTAACAAATTGTTGATTATACTGAATGATGAATTCCATAAGTTTTTATATACAAATAAGCAACAATTCACAATACAAATATCCAAATAGTAACTATAATAAGGATCACATACAGTCCCTAGGAATTTTACTTTTTTCGTACTTCCAGGATGTTTAGTGTGATTAACTATTGCTCTTTGTTATAAAATGTTTGTCTATAATTTTTGTTCTTCATTTTATAACTATGAAAATGGTAGGTAAGCGGTGAAAGTTATAAATAAAGCAAGACCCTTCACAAACCTAAAACCGAATTATAATTTTAAAAATATAAAATTTTCTTAAATTCTATTTTATAAATTTTGATACAAATATGTTCTCTGATTCTTATGCCCTCCTGCAGGGCAAGAAAAAGGATTGTTATATACTAACAGCTTCTACAAATCATCAATGAGTTTAATATTTTCAATATTAAGCTATAAAGCTGTAATTTGAAATTATTGCATTTGATATTGTATATTCCTTTTGTAATTTAATCATTCGTAAGCTTATTTTCCATTTCTGTATTTAATAACATACTATGTTCTTCCAATGTATGTTACTTTTTTATATGTAGGAATTAGGATCACTTTTGGATCTTAAATTATTCTTATTCCTGGAAGGAAGAATATCATTGAATAAATTCAATGTGTGCATAATTTTTTTTTTTTATAATCATAATGCAAAATTTCACAGTAAAAGAAGGTTTCAAAGGGTCGAAAATTGAGGTGAAAAGTATTATTAAAGAGAAAAATTAAATTTTGTTACATTGGTAAATAATCTGCTGTACTAAGTACATTAATTAAATAATTTTCTTTTGCTATTAATGATAGTGTGGTGTTGCTAGCTTAACTATTAAGAGTTTGTTGTCATTTTATGTTGTGAAATAAGGAAATACTTTCAGTTATCATTTCAAATTATTTATCTTTATTAAGAAATACTATTTCATAGTTATAAAATGTTATTGCTGTTTTCATTTTTAAATTAGTAAATAAATGCTTTAATTACACTTTATGAGAAATTAATACTCTTATTTTGTAGTTCATCAGCATCAAGCACTGAATATAGGCCTATCTACATAGATCAGAATTTCCACTATAACAGGTCCAAAATTTGTTGTACAATATATTACACAAATTGCATTTGCAAATTAGATGTTGTTTTAAAATAGGCATTTTAAGGCCACTGCATCCTGCGTACCATTATTCATAATCATAGTAACAAATATAACTGAAAACATTTGAGTTCCTGAACTCAGTTTTCCCTCCACTTTCCTTTAATTTGGTGTATTTTGATTACATCTTAATTCAAAATAAATTACTTTAGTATAATTTTGCATGATTTCAATAATCAGAATTAACTCTGAGACAAAATAATTAATCTGTGTTCAAGTAATGAAGAATAGAAAAAATTTTGTTCTTTTAATTCGAAAAGAATTTTCTTAAGCTTTTATTTAAATAGAAAACTGTATATCAGACAGAAATGAAATAAATTTGAATTGAGGTTTCTCGGTAAATGCTGTTGAGTTACAGCATCTTTTTGAATAAAAAGTTTTTAAAAGGAGGTGCTAAATTTAAAATTGTAATAATTTGGACTTCATTACTTTTTACAGAAGAAAACTAAAATTTAATAAAAAAAAAAAAGAAATAGGAAATAAATGAGATTCTGTTTGATTTCTGAAATTTTCAAAACAAAGTAATTATATCAATTCAGAGCTGCTAATCCTCCTATTAAATCAAGACTCTCGATCTTTGGTATTACCTCCTTATAACACTTCCTACTCCTTTCTTTATCTCTCCAATTCCTACTACCTCTAATAAATCTTCCATTTTTCAATTAATCTAAATTGAAATCATCCATTAATTCGAAACACAATTCTAAAAGAATTGCTGGTGAATGATTAAAAAAAAAGGAAAATTTTGAAAAAATAATGTGAACAATATTATTTCTAAATGAAACAAAAATAATGCAAGTTAATTTTTTTTTTCCAGGTGATTTTCAGCATATTTTTTCTGATTAATTTTTGATTGATCTTAATTGTTTTAATCCTTCATAGAGATTTGTATGTCATTTTTGAAGACTTAATTAACGTTAAATCATTAAATTTTTATTTTTAATTTTGCTTTAAATCTATAAATTATTCATTTTATCTGTGCAATTATATGTTCATTTATTGTTAATTCTATTCTGATTGTATCACCTTGAAAAATAAGTCTTCCCAATTCAGGTTTTCATTAATATGAAATGTTAAGAAAATTATAGAATCAAATGCAAATAACCAAAAAACTTAAAATGAAATTAAGAATAAAGGACTAAATATTGAATTAATATATTTTGGATTAGGACTATTTATAGTAATAATAATCGCTGCTGTGCATTTTAAAGTGATCTTTAAATCAAATTTGTCAGTGGAGTCCTGTTCAAGTCACACGACAGACTTCATTAAAAACCTTCCCATTTTAAGGTCGACAACTATGATAATACTATCTAATCATATAATTTGATATTAGAATTAATAAAATGGTGATGCCATTTGTATGTTTTAGAAACTCTGGTTTTAATTTCAATTTTTTTATCTCAAGTTTCCTCTTATAAAAGTTGTTACTGCTGTTTTGAATTTGAACACTTTTTTGGCGAGAAAGGGGAACAACTCTCAATTTTGAAATATGTAAGGATTTTGTTACCAAAAATTCATATCTTTTATGTACTCTTATATTTTATTGTAAAAGCTTTTTTTTATTTTCTAGGTTCTGGCTTATCTGCTAGGACATCTGAGAATTATGCATGTCACACTGAGCAAAATCTTGCTGCGAAATATAAAGTTGTGTATTATTCATGTGCATATTGTTCATACAAGACATGGGTGAAAACTAATTTGAAACATCATCTACTAAAACACACTGGTGAACGCCCATTTGTTTGCAAGATATGTGGAAAGGGTTATACTCAAAAACATAATCTGGTCACACATTTTCGCACTCATTTATAATAAATTTTGAGTGTATTTTTATGTAAGAAAGCTTTACTGCTTGATTTGAATACTTTATTTACAATCAGTTTTTAATTAATTGACTTTAGATAAGGTTAGATAAAGAAATGGTTTATTAATTCAAAAATGCATACAGAGTAGAGTGTTTTGGTATTATACATTAGTATTTATTTTATGCATATCTGTTTAATTAAAATGTACCAAATGTTTTATTTCATTTTATTATTTTGAAGCAAAAATAAGTAACCTTTTTTTATAAAGATGCATCAAATTGTAATGAAAATATAATTGATTAAGGTGAGACTATGTATGAGAGAAAATCTATTGTATTTATAAATTTCAAGTACTTATTTTTCTAAATAGCTGTTTGTAATAATCTTTTTTGAATATGTTTTAAACATTTTAAATGATATTGATTGAAAATGTAAATGAAGCAGTGTGCTGTACATTATTTTGATTATATAAAGCTTATTTTAATATAAAAAAAGTTATTGTATAATGTATATGATTTTATGTATTCTTTAAATAACTTTCTAAATTTCATTTCAGTAGTGAGTTTCAATTGTGTTTGTTGATCAGCTGATTATTCCAGTTAAAGTATTATGCATATTATTCTATTTTACAACTTCCTGTGCTCTTCTCTGTGTTAGTATATTTGTTTTTATGGTATTAAAAGTGAAATTGATAACATGGTTAAAAAAGGGAATTTTATCATTTTGAATTTTTGTTAAAAGGAAAACAAAATGTAATTTATTCCATTTTGGAATAATAAATAATTCTTTGATTTTCCCCTTATTGTCTGTGTATTTATTTATAAATCACTTTGTCTAATTATCTTTTTAATCGACAACTTTTCTGTTTTTACTATTTGTCTCTGCTTTCATTTTATTTGTGTAATCTGTGTAAATTTAAATTTTTGTATTTTAATAATTTTATTGTTTCGGAGACCACGACAAAATATTTTCTAAAGTAAATCATATCTATGCTCACAGTTTTTAACACCTGTAGTAAATTTCTAAGTTGCACCCTAATTACGTTTTGTCATTTTCATAGTAATATTTAACTAATTAATTAGACAGTGAAACCACTTATGGCAGCTCCTTGTCTTAAAAGACCAGTTCTGAAAGTTCCAAGTATTTCTAGGAACATGAACAAACACTAATATTTAAATTGTTGATAGTATTGTTTCTAATATGACCATCTCTACAAGAGAGTGAAATCACTTTGGATTTTACTGCCTTTTAAATTTTGTGCCTTCCCTTATTTTTATTTACTTATTTATAACTTAAAGCAAGTATCTCACCTTCACATGAGTTTACACATTGTTGTAAGAAAACATGGTTTTGTATTGTCTCCTTTATCCTATTCTCTATAAGCTTATGTATTTTGAAAAATAATTTAGCTGATTTAAATTATTAAAAATATTTTTGTAGCTATTTCAAGGAATTTTTTAAGAAAATCTTTGCAATTTTAAGTAACTGATAATCTCAAAAATTTATATTCATTTAAATTCAAATTTATAAAGTGTTTGAAGTTATTTTTCAAAAAATATTTATAAGTTATTTGTATCCAAATATTTTTTGTAGAGTCTTGTATTTGCTAGAAACACTGGAAAATTTTAGTTAGTTGATACAAAATTTTTTATCAACAGTAAGAAAAACATTTCTTTTCAGCCAACAATTACATTCAAGAATTGTATTTCAAAATTTAGTTTACATGAGGATTTGGAAGTATTTTATTCAGTTTTATAGTGACTGGATATTATTAAACCAAATGCTAAAAAGATATCCAAGGGGAAAAAAGGGCAGAAGAAAAACTAAAATATTTTAAAATTATTCTGTGTATTATTCATTATACTGTTTTACTGCTTATACTTCTCACATATATTTTTATGTGTTACTTCAAAATCATTTTGTTTATAATGTGTTATAGTGTTTCCTTCAATATTTTAAGGTATTGTAAAAAAATAAAGGTTTCTGAACCAAATTTAGGAAGTAATGAATAATATAAATATATCTTAGAAATGATTATATCCCTTCCCTTAATTTGCATTCTTTATTTTTGCTGAAATACACAGTGGTATAGAACAGGGGTGGGGGAATTTTTTATGTTGCAAGGTCATACTTTATTTGTTCAAGTTGCTGCTAAGCCACATGCTAGGAATTTAATACTGTAAAAGGAAACTGCAAAATGAATATTAGTATTATGCAAAATGAATATTAGAATTTAGTATATGAATATTAGTATAAAATAGAAGATAATTTATACTTAAAAAACTGTTGTGTTTACTGTTATGAATCAAAATTTTAAAATATGAGAGAGTTTTGAAGGTTTGATAAAAGGCAGTATCATTAAGACATTACTTTTCTCTCCAATAGCCCTTGCATGCATGTCATATTCAGTTCCTTTTTATTTTCTAAAAACACAGGAAAGAGGAATAATCTTATTTCCAAACTACTTAATGTGGAAAATAAATTCATTTGATTATATGAATTAAACCAGTTTTCAAAACAGAAATAACATACTTTAAATAATAAAAGAATAGTAAAAATTAAGAGACTTAAGTTCTAAATTGCATTAAAGAACTACATTTACACAAGAAACTTGAACAGTTCGATCGAGTTTATTCTTGGGTAAAAAATTTATTCGAATTTTGAGCAGATATTATATTTTATCACTGCTATTACTACACATATTTTTATTTCCCTTTTTATATTTCCTGTTATGTAGAGTAGTAATTTTTCCATCTTTTTGTAATAAACAGGCTTAGCACTTCCTCTATTTCCTCTCTCCCCATTTTTTAATATAGGGTTCAGTTAATTTGAATTTGGTTGTCTATTTAATTGTAGAAAAATATGCTATATTTTGCTTTAGATTACAAAATTTAATAGAACAAAGCAAAATGCATTAGTTTAAGCACTTTATTGAGTTTCAGTTTAGTAACGTATTATATAAATTTAAAAAATGAAACAGCTAAAATTAATATTTTGAATAATAAAATGTATGATTTATGAATGCATCCGCAAGAGCAAGAATATTAGTTATTGTTTTATAAACCATCAGCAGTTAAAGATATAGAGAATATCAATTCAATTTTTCTGTTTTGTTGTTTAAGAAGAAAAGTCACTTAAGTATTCTTAAAGTCTGAAAAAGTTAAAGTCACCCTTCTCAATGTTGAAGCTAATGAAATGGAATGTTACCTACGTGACATATTTCAAATTTAAATCATCAGTATGTTTTCAGTAATGCTACTAAGAATATTATGATAAAGTAAAATAAAAAATATTTTTGAATGTACCCTAGTGAATAACGTGAGAAACATATCAAATTGTAAATTAAACTAGGAAGAAAAGTAGCTAAGTGTGTAAATGGCCAGAACAAAGTAACAAAAAATATAATTCATAATTTTATTTTCAAAAGATTTATTGTTATATTCCATACCTAAAACCATTGCGTTCCAGTTGTAAAAGTACAGTTAACATCCTGCTCAACTAACACGTTAAAAAAAAAGTAAATAAATCTGAAAATTGATCATCTCAAAAGTTTTAAATAAATTTTTTCTTGCGGTAAATATGTACTTTAGGCAATAAATGAGGTTCAGTATACTGTATGCAAAAGTAGTGAACTATGATCGGATCAGTGAAATCGGATCATGTATCTTTCAAGTATATATGCTAATTGATGGATTATGCCAGCTAAAAGTTTGCATTTTATTGGAAGATTAATGTAAACTTTACTGAGCTGTCAAAAATATCAGTTTAGCAACATTCACAGACCTGTTTTAGTTTCAATTTAATTAATTTTAAAGTTTTGATTGAAAACGGAATATTTGACTATCCATAAGCAAGTTCCAAGCAATATCACAAGTTCGATTGAGTTTTTGTCATTCACCAGTCACTAATGCATATATTTATAAGCAATGCTTTTGATATAACATAACTTTTTACTGAATTGAAGTCATTGATCATAAATCCTCTTTAGAAGCTTTTTTTAAAGATAAGTATATAAGATAAGTATACAGGTGAACCTATTTAAGATTTATTAGTATTTCATTGCTACATAGATCTAACGCAATATTAAAAACTGTCTCATGTATCATCTTAAATGAATAATATTTGGGTAATATATTTTAAATAAGGTGTCATGACCCAACAAATATCCAATATTTGTTATAGAATTATAGAAATAATAAGTGCTTTCTGTTATACAAGCTGGTTCCTTCCCTTTCCCAATTTTATATAAAGATAAGTGTGGCCAAACTAAATTTCTTTTTTTTGTAACATGCATACTTTCAACAACTTCATAGATATTATTTAATCTTTTTCAATGCATTTATTATTCCTTTTGTATATAAAAAGATACAGAACGAGTTTTTTTTCCTTTACTAGTTTTTTACTCATTATATAAGTTATTAAAAAGAAATATTAAATTTTTTTCATGAAACATGTTATTTAATTTAAAGATTAATTTCTTTTTTTCCCCTAAAAAAGAAAACAGAAATTAGGCTTATGTTGCAAAAAATCTCTTTTGTGTGTAATCATATTTTGTTTCCAGTTCAAAAAAAAAAAAAAAAAAAAAAAATTCTATGTCAAAAGTTGCTAGTCATTTTGGTTCTTCTCTAAATCATTCAACATACTGAATTGATGAATCTAATTTTATCTTGCATGTGATATTCTGTTCATTTGTTGCAAAGTCAGTGTTGTTTGTAATTATTTCAACCTAAGTATATCATTTAAATTGACAGAAGCACTTTGTGAATTGAAAACTGAATAATACACTGGTATTTATCATTATCTTGTTCTTTCAAAAAATTTTAAAGCTTCTTTCTAAAAATTCTATTTTATATTTAATTCCCTTAAAATTACAGTTTGTGGGTTCAGATGCTTTTTTTTAATGTTTATATTATGTAAAGATAGCTTAGAAGAAATTAGATAAATAATTTTATTAGAGAATTTATGCATTTTTGGTAAAAAAGAGTGTTGTGTATAAAATTTCAGTATGTGCGATTTCTTTGAAAAACCAGAATTTGTTCAAAAAAAAGTTAGATAATTATATCTTTATTTTGTTTGAATGTTAGAATTAATAACATTCTTAAAAAATGAATGTTCAAAAAAATATTAGAATTAAAAAGCAGTTTTTTTTTAATCAATACATTTGATTCTAATTCAATGTAACTTGAATGAGACTCATTAAAAAATACAGTTTTCCATTAAAGGCTTATGAAACACAATATTTGTCTTCTTTATGAAAACACTTTTCATTTAACAGTTCTCCTCTCTCCAGTAATAAAAGCTGATAAAATTATTGTAATGCTTTCAGTAATTTTGTTTATTTTCAGATGCATATGAATTCATCAAACAACTTATGATTATTGCTGTATTGTACTCAATCACAGTTCTTTTTGTTTAATCTAATGATAAAATATTTTTGGATATTTTATGCATGGTATTATGTGTATTTCATTTGCAATATAAAATGTTCTGTCCTTTTCAGATGCTGCATGTAAAAGGATGAGATCAGATTTAAAAGTGGTAGGAAGAATGCATGCTATGAAAGTTCACACATGTAATCTTTGTTCTTATTCATCTCATCATACTGGAACATTTAAGCGACATGTGCTAGCTCATACTGGAGTGCGTCCTTTTGTATGTGAAATTTGTCAGAAATCATTTACACAAAAGTCAAGTCTGCGTACTCACAAGATCATACATTACAGACAAAAATTAGCCTTTGAAACTTTCTAAGAAAATCATATGAAGTTTAATTGAGTGCTAAGCTGGGCTGGTTTTAAGCATAGGTGATAACAGATATCTAGAGCACCTATTTCCAAATTTATTCTAAAAAATGACAACTAAATGAAGGCAATGTGTGTATAGGGTGCCAAAAATGCCAGAATATAGTTTCCTTCTTTCAATATGCAGCATGTCTTTGTAGTCTTATTTTTATTCTAATTATAACTTCTGTGTTAAATTTAGTAGAAGGTAAGAACTTCTTAAAAGTTTCTTTGTTCTGAATAATGAAAATAAGATGGATAATAGTTAATTAGTTTAATATTTATAACCTTTTTAAGTTGTACATTTGAATTTAAAATCCTCCTATAACTCGATTTAGTTAAATGTCTTTTGTTATCAAAAGAAATGTCTGAAAACATATTTTTAATTTTATAAAATAAAAGAGTTCTGTTGCATCTTATAATGTATTCGAAGGGGAATCATTTGAGAAAAAGCTTTAGAATGTCATATCATTTCAATATTTGCATAAAATTACGATAATTGAAAATCTGCAATCGCAGTTTCTTTTTATTATATTTTTATTTCAATATAAACTTGTAAGTATTTAATTCCTTATTCTCCAGTTAAATTACTAAATATTTTTTCCAATTGTCTGGTGAAAGAGCCAGTCATAGAATCCTCTCTTACTCTGTGCAGGTTTGCTTTCTTCATGTAATTTGTACCTGTAATAGTATATCAAATATGCAGTGGCATACTAGAGGTAAAATTATCCTGACAGGAACTTTCTATTGCATTTTGAATATTTTCTGTCCTTGTTTCATGAAGGCATATACATATAAGTAATTGTTCTTCATGAAGTATATTTATATTTTTAATCTTCTATTAAGCTGGGATTCACAACATACTATTAAAAAATACGAAGCTTTAAAATATTTTGATTTTTTATGAATAATAAGGTTGTTTTTTTAATATGTAGTGAAATTTATTCTATTCATAGCAATTTATTTTCGAGGCTCATAGGCAAAATTGTTATGCATTATTAAACTGTTACCTACAGTGTGCAAAATTAAGTAGTGTTTACTCAGTATGAGTAGAAGATACACATTCTAGATTACTAAAAGTTTAATAATCTTTATAAAACTGAGATTCAATAAATTATGGACTTTAAATGCATCAGTATACGTGCATACATAATTAGTTGGCTTTAGTATACATACTTTCGCAAAGAAATCGAAGCACCAAGAAGAGCTGTTGCAATCATGACAAAATTCAGTATGCAAAAACATCTTGATCAAGCATACAAACGATCAAAGTTTCAAGGCAAGTGAACAGGAATTGTGATCATAGCCCACATTCAGTGTCGTAGCTAGGGTGGGGCAAGGGGGGGACATCTGTCCCCGGGTGCAGAATCCAAAGGATGCCAAATTCATGCTACAAAATTTTTTAATGAAATGTTTTCTACTTTTGGCACACAGAAAGGGGTGCAAATTTTTCAGTTGTCTCCGGGCGCTGGAAACTCTAGCTACGCCCCTGCCCACATTTCTAGTGCACAATTCACAAAGTATAAAACCAGTAACAGAGGTGGAAAATTTATCTTTTGTTGTTGCTGCCACTGTAATTCCATAAAGAAGCAACTAAAGATGCCATTACGACGATATCGAAGACCATACAGACAACTAAATGATATCGAACGTGGTCACATTGTAGGGTAACATGAAGCTGTGTCGTCATACCGAGCAATAGGTTGCCACCTGCAGCATACAGACACTGCTGTGCAAAGATGTTGGCAGCAATGTTTGCTACAAGGAAATTGCCGACAAAATAAAGGCTCTGGAAGGCCAAGGAGCACAAATGCGAGGCAAGACAGGATGATTGTTAGCCAGGCCCAAACCGCCCCAACGGTCTCATTATTGACTATTCAGCGTACTATAGCCACGTCTATAGGTGGAGTTACGCTCACAGAGGCCTTTAAGTCATTTGCTTTTGACCCTACAACATAGGCGGAGTCGTCTGGAGTGGTTGGAGTGGTATCGCAGCTGATCATCATGGCTGGCATCATACAGTGTTCAGCGATGAATCCCCCTTCACTCTTAAAGCAGATGACCACCATGTTCGTGTCTGGAGAGGATGAGGCCAGCGGTCCCAATCAGCCTTTGTTTTATAAAGGCATACAGCTATAACCCTTGGTGTGATGGTGTGGAGCACTATTTCTTATGACTGCAGGTCATCTTTAGTCATCCTCCGTACATCTTTAACAGCTCAATGATATGTTGATAACATCCTGCAGCCAGTTGCATTACCCTTCGTGGCATGTCATCCTGGGGCCATTTTCCAACAAGATAATGCCAGGCCACATACTGCTCGCATATCTCTGGACTGTCTCTCTGTGGTTGATACTCTTCCTTGATTAGCAAGGTCACCAGACCTTTCACCAATCAAGTATGTCTGCGACATAGTAGGCCACCAAATTCAGGCACCACAAAATATTGGAGCTATGGAGCGACAACTGATGCATGCCTGGCAGAATGTGTCGCGGAATGACATTAGGAATCTCTACTACTCCATGTCTCGACAAATTCAAGCATGCATTGCCGCTGGGGGGGTTCGACCAACTGCTAATTTGAACATTCAATAAATGATTGTGAGCCGTGAATAGGTACTGTGACCTTGATTTGTTAATCATTTTATTATCTATGTATGTACATATTCAATTTCATCAAAAACAACCACTGCCTTCATGATGCTTTGATTTTTTTGCAAAAGAGTGTATTTGGGCTTGTTTTCTGCAGTTTTATTCTTGATCAAATTATATTTATAAAAAGACTTGTAACAATGAGAAGAATGTTAAGTTTATTATCTGTGCCTTTAAATAATGGCATTATAATCAATTCATAATGATTTAATTATAATACCACAATTAAAAATAGTGTTAAAAACTGTTAAATAGGTTACTACACTAACTAAAAACTATTAAATACTATGATTAAAATATATTAATATTATTAAAACCATTAAATAAAATTATTAAAAATTAAAATGTAAATACTATTAAAAAAATCAGATGCATTGCATAAACCTTAAGGTCCTGATATTTGGCTATTCCAAATAAAAGTCACATGTCATCCATGATAGCTGTCCAAACTTTTTGATATTTTTCAAGAATGTGAAAAGAGTAAAAATTTTATTTTAATTATAACTACGTAAAAAACTGTATTAGGCATTGAGATTTCAAGCCACAAATAAACTTCTGTGTTTCTATGCTAATTGAAGCCATGTGTGAATGTGTAAAGTTTTACATAAGCCTTCATAAATGCTTGTGTTAAGAAATATGTATTCTTGTCAACTATGCTGCGTATTTTTTTATATATAAATAGTATTTGAAATAAAATGCATTAACCAGAAACTTTTTGAGAGATTTTATACTTAGTGTCCTAAACTCATGTAGCAGTTAAAGTAGAGCTAGTGTTTCATACAGAGGGTGCTTACACATTTTTAGAACGAGTTTGATAAAGAATTTTTTTTAAAGGAAATTTTCAGGAATAAAAATTTTTAGCAACAGCTTATTATTTGAAGTGAGAAATATTGTCTGCTAGTTTTAAATTTATTCTTCCTTCAAAATGTCACATGTAAACAAGCTGTGGATTGAAAGATATGTTTTTCCACTTTCCAAAGAAATATATTCCTATTCTGTAATTCATAAACGTTATGAAATGTATCAAAATTTCTAAATGCGAAGTAAGCAGCATTATTAATCATAAAGAGAAAAAAATCAATCATTACTCGAAGAAAAGGCACCAAACAAATACCTAGTGTTTTTAATGTTTCTAAAGTTAAATCGTTGATGACAAGAGAAAAAACACCGAAAAGCCCTTCTAGCATGGAAATTACAATACAGCCTTATAGTCCGAAATAAAGGCTACCATATAGAATGTTTTAAAAATACTCTTTAAATTTTAAAGGTTAATTAAACGGCTTCGAAATCATTTTAAACATGTATAAACACCTTCTGTATTTATGAATGTTATGATGCTTATCAACTGCAAGATGACATTTAAAAAATCTACGAATTCAAAACTGATTACCCAGTAGCTGTTCTTTTAGCAAGATAAACCCTGTAATGTCATAAAGCAAGAAGTTTTAAATTTACAGGGTTAACAGTTTATCAGATATATTTTATTGATGGCAATTTAACATGTATAGATCAACAAATGTTATGGCAGTTTGTAGTTTTGACTAGTTATCTAGTTAAATTCAACTTAGTAACTAGAAGCATTCATAATTGAGATGCAATATAGTTAAAAATAAATAGAGGATGAAATAAAGCATAATATAATGTAACATTCTTAATAAAAAGGAAATTATATTGAGATTTCAAAATAAGTTTATCATTTCTGAGATAATATTGAAGGAGTATTGTAATTATATATATAATTACTTCTTTACAAATATAGGATATATAAAGAAATTGCTCAGAATTAGAAAGTTATCTCAATATCAAATACAAGAAAATTATTACATTTCATAATTATGGGCTCAGAGATATTCTATTATATTATCATTTCTAAACAGCGAATACACAATTCATCAAAATTTCTTGAAATTTAAATCAACCAGTTTAGTGAAACAACTCATTAAGCAGAAAATTCATATTTTTACGAAACTTTACTTATAAATGAAATTATTTTTGAATCTTGTTAACACATTACTCAAACGAGTTAACTTTTATGGCGTACGTAACAATATATTTGCATGAAATTGTGTATGAAATCATTTTATATATTATTCAAAAGGTTTTAATACAAGGAATTTGCTGAAATGTAAATGTTGACAAACTATTTGATTCTTTAAATGGCAGAAGTGTAGAAAGATGTTTTACCATTATTTTGGTTTTAAAATGCTTGCAGAAAATTGAATTTCAATATAAAATATAAAACAAAATTTTGTTTCTTATATAAAGACAATACTCCTTCAATATTATCTCAGAAATGGTAAACTTATTTTGAAATCTCAATATAATTTCCTTTTTATTATGAATGTTACATTATATTATGCTTAATTTTAATATTATCCTTTATTTCAATGTTATATACAGTCAAAAGTCTTTAATCCGGACTCGTCGGGACTTCGGCGATTCCGGATTAGTGGTTTTTCCGGATTATAGATCATCAATTTAAATCTAGTAAGATGGCATGCAGAAATTATAAAATTAAAACCATAATTTATAAAATAAAGAGCAATTATGATCTAAAGGGTATCAAAATTTACAAAAAAAAGCTTAATATTTATTTGTTTACTTTATTAAACATTTCTTTCGCGCGTAAAGCATACATTACACATAGTCAAAATTACAAAATTGCAACCAGAAAACTATTTGATGTGTATTCCTGATATTTATAATGACGAGGAATTTGATTTAAATCATATCAAAGACAGAGTACATCGAGATGAAATACTACATTTAGTAAGGAATTAT